TGACCGGCGCTGACCGGTGTTTGCCGGTGCTGATCGGTGCTAACCGGTGCTGACCGGTGCTGATCGGTGCTGACCGGTGCTGATCGGTGCTGAACGGTGCTGACCGGTGCTGACCGGTGCTGACCGGTATTGGTCGGTGCTGGTCGGTGCTGACCGGTGCTGACCGGTGCTGACCGATGCTGACCGGTATTGGTCGGTGCTGATCGGTGCTGACCGGTGCCGACCGGTGCTGACCGGTATTGGTCGGTGCTGATCGGTGCTTATCGGTGCTGACCGGTGCTGATCGGTGCTGACCGGTGCTGACCGGTGCTGATCGGTGTTGACCGGTGGTGACCGGCGCTGACCGGTGCTGACCGGTGCTGACCGGTATTGGTCGGTGCTGACCGGTGCTGACCGGTGCTGACCGGTGCTGATCGGTGCTGACCGATGTTGGTCGGTGCTGACCGGTGCTGACCGGTGCTGACCGGTGCTGATCGGTGCTGACCGATGTTGGTCGGTGCTCGTCGGTGCCGGCCGTTATAGGTCTGGACTAACATCGAGTGACCGGCGCAGTACATGGCTATCCAGAATATGGCCGACACTGGTGCGGCCGCCGCCAATCTCAGCAACAACCAACGACCTCCATCATCTCCGGTCTGGCGGCCGCGCGTGGCGCCACACCATCTCCTCTGAGTCGAAGTCTCTCTGCGTCGGTGCACGGACGCCAGACGCATCAACGAGCCCGACGCCGGGTAACGCGTTGTGCCGCTCAAAACGCACACTGACACACGCACGCACGCACGCACGAACGCACTCACTCACTCACTCACTCACACACGCACGCACGCACGCACGCACGCACGCACGCACGCACTCACTTACTCAATCACATACGCACGCACGCACGCACGCACGCACACACACGCACGCACGCACGCATGCACGCAAGCACGCACGCACGCACGCACGCACGCACTCACTCATTCACTCGCTAACGCACGCACGTATGCACGCAAGCACGCACACACGTACGCACACACGCACATACTCACACACACGCACGCACGCGCGAACGTACTCACTCACTCACTCCCTCACTCACTCACGCACTCACTCACTCACTCACTCACTCACGCACTCAATCAATCAATCAATCAATCAATTAATCAATCAATCAATCAATCAACCAATCAATCATTCACTCACTCACTCACTCAACCGCTTACTCACTCACTCACCCGCGTACTCACTCACTTACTCACGCACGCACGCACGCACGCACGTTGTTTCGCCTGTCGGCAAGTACCACGCCCCTCCGCGGAGCCCCAATGTTCAGGCCGCTTCAGCCCCTCCGCCTGCTCGGGACGCCACCTGACCTCACGTCAGTGACTGACAGTTCAGTGCCGTGGTCGGGGCATGGTGGGACCCCGGTGGTCAGGACGTGGAGGGGCCATGGCCCGCCTCGCTCAGGACAGAGAGGCATGTTGCTCCGCAGGACGTGATGCAGGTGCTGCCGGAAGGACGAGTGAGCAGCGTCCCATCACCGTCTCTCCACCACCATCATCATCATCATCGTTTTCTCGGCCATCCGTCTTGACCACCCGTCTCGACCATCCGTCTCGACCATTCGTCTCGACCATCGAGAACAGGGGTTCACACATAGAGTTCGGCCTGAGACCATCATGGACGAGGTACACGGGTAATTCGTGGGGGCGCATCCTCGAGTGACAGATGAGCTTCCAGCCAGCGGAAGCTCTCGATCTTCCGTGCAGGTTACCTAGGGCAGGCTAGGGCCCATCAGACACGCAGCCAGAATGCTCCTCAGGGAGGGACAAATTCTCAGATCTCGTCATATTCAATTGTTTTCTTGTGAAACTGATCAATACCTACAGTAGAGCGCTTCTTTTAAGCAGCAGTCTCTGGCTCCTGTGGCAACCCCTACCCAGGGATGATGTTCCCTGTTCAGATGGGGGTGGAAGAGGAGCTCCAGCCCCCTTAGCTTTGAGAAGTAGGCGAAATCCGGGGAGACACCCGTTTGTTGGTGTGTTTTGGAGGTAGCTTGCGCCATTTTTTCACGCCTGAGCCCCCATCCACTTACTTGCAAAGCCACGACCCCGCCGCTCGCAACGTTCATGGTTCTTGCATCTTTCCCCGCAAACCCGTCCCTCCCCAGTCCCTTCAGTCTCTCTCATCTTCTAGACGGAGCTCGGGGGCCTTTGGGGCTGACGATCCTGCATCAGGACGATCAAGGGTCTGGGAAACCAGAGGTTTGGGGTTCGATTCCCCGCGGCACCCGTCCTGCTCGTCAGGGTGAGAGGCAGGTGACGTCCAGCAGGCGAGTGCGCCATGAAGCGCCTATGACGACGAGGATCATTGTGCGACGTTAGACATCACTGTTCTTGGCATACCTTGCATTGTCGATGCATGCCTCACAACCGTGAGTATCCTGCATGGTTAAATGACCACCAGTCCATGCCATCCATAAATCTGGTAATTCCTTTTCTCCTGCTCCCAACGCGGTTTCCTCTCCCATCTTTTATAAGAGCCGCGTTCCTGGCAGTACCGACCTCACCCGGGCTCGCGCGACCGAAGCTTAATTCCATCACAGACACCGCCTCTCCCACTGTTGCCTCTCCCACCCAGGACCGGCTCGTTTCGACCCGGTGCACCCCAGCTTCAGCCAGCAGGCCGGTATCTGTGGGCGCGACATCTGCAGGCATGGTTGCGGGCCAAAGGTGCTGTGTGTCACTGCCTGCACAGCGGCCGAGGTAGTGCCGGCCGATATCTGCAGTAATCTCGACCGGGACTTTTTCCAGGCTTACGAGGGCTTGAGCCGCAAGATGTCGGATTCTCCTTGAAGCCGCGTAGCCGTGTGCTCCCGACAACATGAGGTCACCCCCCGCGCTGTGTGCACACATTATAACTGAGCTCACAGTCATGCTCCATGACATGATATCATGACGCATGCGATAACATCATGACATTGCTGCGAAGAATTGATATGTAAACTGAGCGCAACAAGCACACGTAGCTCAGTTTCGGTTGCTCGATCGTGCAATCGCTGCATCACAAGTTAGAATAAATCGCTCAGGTTGTGTGGGTACAAGCTTGCTTTAATTTAAGTTCCATGACACTGGGTTTGACGGTATTCGACCTCGCACCTTTGTAACTTCTGCCAGTCGCATAATTTCGTTTTCATTCAAATCCATCGCGGGCAATAACATCAATCGTTGATATCTTATCCCCCTTTAGTGATACCATTTCCTGTCTAAAGTACGAGTGCCCTACGATTCACATTTTCTGTCCACTGCCGTGACCCGACTCCCTACACCTACACTCCCATCGTGACGCGACTCCTCACACGCGCACCCCCACCGTGACCCGACCGCGGCCACGGCCACCCCGTGCTGCCACGCTGGGCTGAGAACTCGGCGAACTTGACGACGCGAAGGCCTGGAGCCTCAGATAATGTCATCCGTGAGCACGAAGCTTCCGTGGCAGCCGGCGGCATCCCGCACCACGGCCCCTCGAGGTCACCAGGCCAAGACATCGGGCCAGTCCGGGGAAGCTTCACGAGCGCTGAGCCGAGCACCAGGACGGCGCCGGGCGTGCGCGGCCGCCGACCCCGCGCCTCTCCGACCGCGCCGCTACACCGGTTCGCGCGCAAAAATGTCGCCGGACGAGCGGCGGCCGTTGACAGCGGCGGCGGCGGGATGAGAACCGGCATCTCGGGCGGCAGGCCGCGCATCCCGGGCTCGCTTCCGGCCGGCCGGACGTGCCGTGAGAGAGCGTGCAGCCGTCGCGGCGGACGCCCAATCAGGTACGACCGCGCCGGCGTTCCCACGGCATCGCGCCAACGCGGCGTGACCTGGCGCCGCGGCCGGATCACGGAGCCGGGCTGGTCCGTACCGACCGCCGTGCTCCACTGCTCGCGGGGCGGCCGTGACCGCGGTCGGGTCATGGTGGGGGTGCACGTGTGAGGAGTCGGGTCACGATGGGAATGTAGGTGTAGGGAGTCGGGTCACGGTAGTGGTGTAGGTATGGATAGTCGGGTCACGGCGGGAGTGTAGTGTGGGGAGTCGGGTCACGGTAGTGGTGTAGGTGTGGGTAGTCGGGTCACGGCGGGGGTGTAGTGTGGGGAGTCGGGTCACGGTAGTGGTGTAGGTATGGGTAGTCGGGTCACGGCGGGGGTGTAGTGTGGGTAGTCGGGTCACGGCGGGGGTGTAGTGTGGGGAGTCGGGTCACGGTAGTGGTGTAGGTATGGGTAGTCGGGTCACGGTAGTGGTGTAGGTATGGGTAGTCGGGTCACGGCGGGGGTGTAGTGTGGGGAGTCGGGTCACGGTGGGAGTATAGATGCAGGGAGTCGGGTCACGGAAGTGGCGTGGGTGTGGGAAGTCGGGTCACGGCGCGGATCTGTGTGTGGGTATTCGGGCACAGATACTGGAGGGAGAACAGACCTTTCTGACACAATGGTACTATCGCGGCGGTAAGCATAGCCACGGTAGCGGCAGTGATGTAGCGATATCCGGTAGTGATAAAGGATGGGTAGTCAGGTCGGAGTACCCACTTGAGTTGAAGAGTCTGATGCTGATACCGATCCAGGAACGCAGGCTAGACCGTGCTGGTGATGTGGGGGGGGGGGGGGGAGGGATGTCGGGCCCCAGTACTGATGCGGGTCGCGGTGAGTCAGGTCACGATAGGATGCAGGTGCCATGTCAGGTCGCGCCACGTCAAGAGCTGATAAGGCCACCACACTAACACCGAAATTGCGAGTCGGGCTACGTTGCCAACATAACTCGTTGATGTGACCCATTCCTGCGGCTGGTGTGGAGATGGTGGATGGGTCACAATGCCAAGGACATTCGTCGGCAGGATGTGTGGTATCCAACACTCCTCCGTCTGTCGCACGGCATCGGCGCATGGCCATAGCACTGCTACATCGCAGGAGCTAGGAGAAGGCCCTAGGCCCTAGAAGATCCCAGAAAGCTAAGTGGGGCTAGGAGGAGGCCCGCGGAACCTACCTGTATGGACAGTTCGCTCCGCGGTGCGCTGCTCCATTCGCTCTCCGGCGGTGACCAGCGCCGGGCCGTCCGTCTGCGTGCCCACGCCGGGCGAGGGCGCCGGCTCCAGCTCGCCTCCCGCCTCCTCGCTCTGCACAGCTGCCTGATGATCCGGGGTGAGCTCCTGTTCGCTGCCGCCGCCCTCCTGAACGGCAGGCTGCAGGCGGCGGCCGACCGCTCCGCTCGTGGGGACGTCTGCCCCGTGCCCCTGAGCTTCCACTGGCGGCGGGGGGCCGGCCGGCTGCGGGGCCTCGAGGCTGGCGGGTGGCGGCGAGGTGCGCGCTGACACTCGGCTCCGCTCCTCGGCTGGCGGGCCGCACTGGTCCAGGGCACGACTCGGCCAGCAGCCCCGGCGCGCCGACCGGGCGCCGCATCGGCGGGTGCCGCGACAGTCGCTTGCGCTTTGACATCTGCCGAGAAGAGAGAGAGGAGAGAGAGAGAGATGAAATACTGATTACCGGCACAGCTGCGGGCGACACTTGTGCGACGCCCGTCCCAGCGGCCTCGTCCGCCGCCCGCACGCCACTCGTCGGAGGCAGAGGCCGGCAGCCGAGCCTCGCGCACCGGCCCGGACGTTCGTTTTCTCTGGAGACACAACGGCCCTGGTAGTAGCTGTGCATGAAACGCTGGACGGGCCGGGAGTGAAAAAGCACGTGTTGCTGAGCTCGCGGTCCTGCGGCGACCCCGTGAGGCGGCTGCCTGCAGCTGGCCGGCCGTGGACACGCTGAGATAGCGACGAGACAGTGGTGAGAGGGCGCTGAGATCACTGCGGGGCACCACGCTTCCCGATCGCCGGGCACAGCGGGCAGACGAAGAACACGGCATTGTTCCCGGACGCGGCGCGACGCTGTCCACGCATCGGCGGAACGGTGACCAGGCGACGAATCGCGGGGCCCACGGGCCACACTGGAGTCCGGTTGACTGAGCAGCAGGATGTGGACGACGAATAACGCCATAACCGGACTAACGTACTCAAACATAGGTCATGATGCGGCAATAAAGTTGTCCGCCATTGCCACAGCTCGCTGATACAAATCGTGGAACGCCTGCTCAAGCATACCCCAGCTATCTCTGAAGACCGGCGAAGGAACGATGTGAATCGCTATAATACAGAGGGCACGGTTTAAAATCAAATCGTAATGAGAGAAAAAAGCCACAGAGCGTCTCTGCCACGCACCGGGCAGCTTTAATCTCGTCATTGCAATGAATGTGTGGCATACGAAATCGTATGTATGATGCCTGTATGATCAGAAAAACACGACTGAAACATGATCTCCGATCTTGCGAGCTAAATCGAGTTCCAGCGCGCAGGAGCAAACCCACTCACTGCCGGATGATTCGACCGCCGTAGGCCTCTGAGCGCGCAGGTGAGTTCACGGCCAGTCGTCCCCCTCCCCCCTCCCCGCCCGGCCGCGTTTCAACCGACTGTCGGCTGCCGCTTGGCCGGACCGGAGGCCGGAACAGGGCGGTCACACGCGCTTCATGCATCAGACGGGGTGCGCGCCAGCTATCTCTCGCCGGAGAACTCGGCGGCGACCCGGCCACGGGCGGTGGGACGCCGGTGAGATAGCGGTGAGATAGCGGTGAGATCCGATGACAGCACCGCGCGGCAGTAATCTCCAGGTCGCCGTTCGCTACCGCGGGGACGAACACGCCGCTGACGCGGCTCGAGCTGCGCTCGCGCTGGCTGGGGCTGACCAAGAGACGCCCCAGAGGCTGGCTCCGCGGCAGAGGCCGCCGTGCTCGCTGCCGCTGGGGAACGACGGCATTCGGATAACCAATATTGTCATAGCCGGAAAGACATGCTCCAGATCAGACCATGGCGAATGGCACGCACGCATAAGGAAGCGCCACAGCTTTCTGGTGAGGAATCGCCACGTGGTAGTGTAAGCTCAGGTTAAAAACGAGCGTGGTCCTGACATGGGCATGACGGCAGTGCGCGGTGACACGAGCCCACAGGCGCATCTCAAGCTGGACGAGACGTTTGCGAGAGAGGTCACCGTTCGCGTCTGTAACGCAATAATCTGTGTGATCTATAATGTGATGCTCACATATGCAGGGGAAATCGGAATGCATGGTGAGGGCGACAGCGGAGGCAGCGGCCACTTCTCTTGGATATAGCCTCACGGTAACGCCACGTCGCTGCAGATAAAAACCGAGGCAAAAATAGCAACCCTCCCAGTTCCTCCGATTTACGTGCATCGAGGATGCTGTATGAGTGACACCTAACTATACAGCCCTCCAAATGCTGGTGATTGGAGTCTGTCCTCTTCACAGCGACTGAAGCACTAGTCGAGACTTGCTTAACCTAATCAAGTTCAAACGCAATGGATTCATAACGCTTTTCTCAGGGTGGACCGGACGATCTTTTGGGTGCCGCTCAAAGTGCGACCTTCTAATGCACCCGAGACCCAAGGCGGTGGCCAAGCGCCCTCGCCGAACTGTAATGTGGTCTCCGCGCGGTCCCCCTGCCGCGCGCGGTTACCTGCCGACTCATCTGATTTGAGCCAATGACGCGGGGGCGGATATTGAGGCGTCACGCGAACGCGGGCGGCCGGATGTCCTCCGGCCGCGGTGGTCGCCGCCGCCGCCATCCGCTATCTTGATCTCACGTGCTGCCCGCGGGCCACCGTGCTCCGCTGGTGATACGCGTGTCACGCGTGGGTCGGCGGCGTGACGCGTGAGGCGTGTGGCCGGACGCGTGAGGCGTGCGGCCGGGTGCGTGGGGAGCGCGGCCGGGACGCGCGAGCCGACCGGCTGAGATCGCACGGCGGGGTCGGAGGCGCTCCCTCGTCCAGACATGAGGGGGAGAGGGGGAGGGGAGGGCTCGTCCGACACTGCCGTCCGCGAGCCGGTCGTGCGATATCGCTGCAGGCGCCGTTCTGGGTCGGTGCTCGAAGGAAAGTGAAGTCACGCCAGTCGGCGTGCATCATTGCTTGCATTACTGGAGCGCGGGAGGGACAGTGACGGCAAACAGCCGCGAAAGCCGCTGACGACGAGGGAGGAGGTCAGAGAGAGGCCTCTTGCCTTTCTGAGGTGCCCAGGAATGCGATAAGCTGCTGGCTCCCTGGTTGGACCTATCTCCAGTCCGGCAATTCCGGTCAAGCCCCATTACGTGGCGGGGGGGGGGGGGGGGGGGGGGTCGGCGGCTGGCGGCTGGCGGCGCCGCGCGAGCCGATAGGTTAAGTCCTGTCGGTCATCTGGTCGAGCCTGTCGCTCTGATGACGTTTGTATGCAATGAACACCGTATTTTAAAACGGAAAGTGTCGCCTTTCAGGAAGGAAGTGGAACGTTACGCTCGCGGAATCAGATTGGGCGTAACCGATTCCGGCCTCCGGTGCCATACGTTCAACACATGTCTCTCAGTAGTGCATAGTTTGGTCCGAGCTCGCCGCTGCAAAGGCACACACCATTCGACAGATTTTCCCTTGATTTTACCCACTCATAGTCAAAGTACTACATTCTGTTCGTTAACATTACAACACTGCCTTGACTCTGCGACTGAGCTGCGTTCGTTGTGAAACGTCCCAGAACGAGTTTCAGTCTAGCGCAACCTTGGCCATGGCCTAAGCGCAAACATCTACTTTGTCGGCAGCCAGCGGCCTTAAAATCTCGCACTCACGAGTGCCATGAATTCGTTGGACCAATCAAAGTTTTCAGCAACCGTCTGTGGACTATGGTCGTCGCCATGCTTGCAGTAGATATTTCCGTTTACAGCTTTGCACGGCTTTTTAGACCTGGCATTAAATCGTCATGAATTGTTTATTGTGTGCCCTGGGTGAACACGGTGTACTCTTCAGCCCAATGCGCAGCGCTACATAGTTAATGCGGCGCGTTAATGGCAGGGCGCTTTGTGACAATCCTTAAGGACGGCACACTTTCCTCCAACGATCTTAACTCTTTTGCTGTTCGGCGGACGTGCGGCCTCGTGCGGCCTCAAACAGATCAGCACGCTTAATTCAGGAATGGTTGCGGTTTGCCTAAAGGCCGTGACAACCGCACGCATACACCTGTGTCTTCGTGCTGCAAAGGCAGTGCATTTTCTTGACCGTGAATTAATAGCTTTCGTCGCTCGTCTCGTCAGCGATTTGGCACCAAGCCGCGACGGCCAGGCCTTGCGGTGGTCGGGGCGACCAAACGGGATTCGGCGATGCACGAACTCCGCATGATACGACCCTCTCTGGCCGGGGAAACCTGCGATCTGCGCTGCGAGATGCAGATCGAGATGGGCACGTGCTGCTAACGTTGTGCAACGCCACCCTGCAACAGCGCAACGTAGGTAACGGCGGAACTAGTGACGTCACTGAACGGACAGGCTCTTCTGCAGGCGAAGGATCCGGATCCTCCTCAGGATCCGGATCTTCAGCGGCTGCAGGGGCGACGGTGGCACTGCGGCGGCGGCGGAAGCTCGGCGGAGCACTCTGCCGCGCGCCGGTTGTGAGAGAATTTCTGCACCGGCAGCAAAATGACTCAGGAAATTACCGAGTGCATGTGAATCTCGCGGACTAAGGCATCTGCACCCAATGAGAAAGTACTCTCGGAAAGGAAGTCGCTTGTTTGCCCTTGCCTGAGCCAACTGTGAGCCTCGCTTGGACGCTGTTATGTGCAAGGTGTGAGCGCCGCCGCGAGATGAATGCACCCATTGTGGAGTCACGCGGCGTGCCGGAGCCCAATGGTGGGGCGCGGACTACTGGGCACCGTTCAGGTATACGTGCCAACACATTGCGCAGTGCAGCTGATCTGGTCTGGCCCCTAATGCATGCCAGATTCCAGTGACCATGTCGTGCTTTGCGCTGCGAGGTTTCTGATCAGCTCAGCCTCCGCCTGACGGATTGCACAGATTTTGTCTATCAGCAGGTGTAAAAAACATGAGCTGTCTGTGCAGCTTGGACCCGGCGGATTTTGAGCTCGTGGTATTTGATATGGCTAGTCTTCAGACGACAAAGCAAATGTTTGCTCTCCGGGGGGATCTCCCTGATATCTCAAGCCGCGCCCTTCGACGCTGACCGCTGCATTGCAGTGCAATCAAGACCTACTTGAGAGCTATATAGATTACAACTTACGCTTCATCCCAACCGTCAATAACGGTCCCGAGCTCGCGACCCCTCTTGAGCTCGGCTCAGAGGACACCAACGCTGCCGGCACCTCGCAGAGTCGGGCTGCACCGGCTCCGACCCGCCGCGTCCGGCGGGAGGCCCGGCGGGAGGCCCGGCCGGGCAGACTCGGACCGGCCCCCGGCGCCGCCGTCCGCAGAGCGTGGGACGCGAGGCGCCGGAAGTTGCAGGGCGACTGCTTCTCACGCTGCCGGCGCCGCGCGCCGCCTGGCGAATTGGACCCGGAAACTGGCCTGCCCGGTGGCCGCTCCCGACCGCTGGCAGGCACGCACAGCCACGCGCTGCCGATACCAGCC